TCCACCCCACCACCATCAACACCGCAACAGCAACAGCAACAGCAGCAGCAGCAACTGCAATACCCGACACCAAATGCTAATCCGACGGTGTTACCTCCACCGCCTCCACCGATCGTCTCATACGCGCCGCAGGCAGTGTCTGGAGGGGTCGCGACGTTGACTCCCTCTCTGCCGTCATTTCGTCCGGTTCCTCAGTTTTCTCCGGTTCCCAACCCGAGTTACCAGAACCCTAGCATCCAAACCCCTGGAGTGCAACCGCCTGGTGTGAGCTCGGCTCCAATTATGCCGTACCAGGTTCCTCCAGGTCAGATTTTGAGTCCGGCTATGAGACCGTACGCGCCTGTGCCGAATGGTTATCCCGCCATGCCTGCAGCTGCTCCTCAGGGTACCGTTCCTCCGCCGGGTGGGTTATTCTCTCTCCCTAAAGCTATAAATTTCTTTTAATGTTCTTTATTTTGTTCTATGTAGATCTTAGCGATGCTTTATGAAGACATTGTTAATACCCTATAGCTACCGTTCTGCTGTGTGCCAGAATTTATATTGTTAAGCTCTTGGGTTTGTTCATGTATTTTTATGTGCCTCTCATGTACCGCGAGTGGAAATTATTTGTTTTAGTTAAAATAATATTGGCACATGGTTTTTTGGGGAAGAATTGAAAAAGGTAGGAAAAGTTTAGAAAGGGGCATGGATGACGGGATGTTTTCTCCTACAGTGTTTTGATTGATTACGGTGAGAAAGGTTGCAAGGCTTCAAATATTGGTTAGAGACCCCTTCTTCAACACCTTTACTTTGGTATGCATATTTGTTTGGTTTCCTTAAATTCCGTTTAAGAGTAAATGCACCTTTAATGAGAAGTTATTCTTTTTCCACCCTTAACTCAGCCCCTAAGATCTAAAAATAGTATCAAGAAAAAAGTAATAAACACAATTCAAATAGCTGTATTGCTCTTTATGTCATGCTAAATTTCATGTGGTTGTGCCATGTTCATTTTAGTAGGCTACTTTCTGGTAGTCATAAGGGTACTTTTCCTTTCATGGGTTTATGAATTGCCAGCGGCAGACCTTGTTAGCAACTGAGTGCTCGTTGGCCTTTTATTATGAGGTATCACAATCTTTCTAATTACAGTTTCTCTTTCCTTTTGTCTCCCTGCTCCTTATGTTTCTTTCTGTTTGTTTTTCCATTTTGCAAAATGGACTGCTAACGTTTTAGAGAAATCTAAATGTTGAGAAATATGAGTATAGTTTTGAGTTATTAATTTCCTGTGAGCATGAGATGCTGGAACTCTCATGTTATCAAATCTCAAAATTTGCAATTGGTGCATGGAATGATTTGGAAGGCTACTATCTAACAAGTGGATGCACAAGGTAAGCCCAGCTCGAATGTCCATGCTTATGAACTCCGTGCTATTTTCTTAATGTCTGCTTCAGGTTATCTATTCAGCTGGTGATAGTTGCCATGCCTGTGGTGCCATCTCTAATATGCTTTTATTGTGTGGTAACATTATTTAATTATTTTCTAGAATCTTTTTTCATTATATGTTTAATGGGACAAACGCTGTTATACCTGTTTTTAGTTGATAAGCTTGTTCTAACATCGTTGCATAGATATTTGTTTTCCGTTTATGCAGGATTTCCTCGGTATTCTTCCCCATACCCAGCTATGGTTCGCCCTGTGTTTCCTCCACGTCCACCAGGTGCAGTTGGTGTGCTTCCAGCAGTAGCGCGTCCATTTGTGCCAGGAATACCTGGTGTTCGCCCAATAATCTCCCCTATTATTAGGCCAGCTGTTGTTCCTATTGTTACACCAGCAGATAAACCACAAACTACGGTTTATGTTGGCAAGATAGCACCAACTGTGGAAAATGATTTTATGCTTTCTCTTCTTCAGGTGGGTTTCTGAGTTTTTAGGCTTTGTCTATGTTTATAGGACTTAAGACCCTCTCAACCAAGAGCCATTTGGCTCTTTGGTTTCTTTTTTTCACTACATGATGTGTGACTGAGGGTCTTGATCTTGGTTTATGTCTCAGTTAACACTCAAAATATATCCCAAATATTTTCATTAGCAGTGCACATGGTTGTGCACTCATACATACAACTTAGGATCCTTCTGCTTTTGTGGTAGCGTTATTAAAGTGCCTTTTAAGCTATTGGTGTATGAAATTTGATTTGTACCTTTTTGAAGTTTTGTGGACCCGTCAAGAGTTGGAAACGTGCTCAAGATCCCACCACTGGGACTCCTAAAGGTTTTGGGTTCTGTGAATTTGAGTCTGCAGAAGGGGTTCTTCGTGCATTGCGGCTGCTGAGCAAATTTAATATTGATGGGCAGGAATTGGTGGTAAGCTTGGATTTATTATATATCATTATATGAATTGTATTACTGTGTTTTGCTGATATAGAAGGTCGGTTTTTCTTTTTCTTTTAAAAAATTTTGTGGCTAGAAGCATAATGTGCAGTTTTTTGACTCTTTGATTCTATTAAAACAGTGTTTAAATTGCAGAAAGAAATATGCTTAAAGTAGGTGGATGCTTGTTTAAAGCAGATGAATTCTTATTTAAAAAGTAAGCTCTAACATTTGGATAAAGTGCCCATTGCAAAAAAGAAGTGTTTCTTTAAAATAAAAAATTAACGAAAATATGTACTTATTATGAATATCCTCTTAAAATTAATAATATATTGATAAGAGTATGTAAGTTAGAGAATATTTATTTATTTATTTTTGTTTTATTTCAAAAAAATAAATATTCTCTGACTTGCATTATCTTATCTATATATTATTAGTTCTAAGAGGATGTTAAGAGGGTTTAAGTAAATTAGTTAGACAAAAAAAATAAGAATTTTGAAAAGTCAGGAACATTATGTTTATTTTTTTATTCGTTAGAGTCACTTTTAAGAACTTATTAAGCACCCAGCTTTTAACACCAGCAAACGATTGGAGCAGGGCGCTTAAGGTTGCTTATAGGAACCAAATAAACAATGCCAATTGTAAAATGATCTTTTAATAATGAGTTCTTGAATACTATATGTGCTACTAGCTTTCTCTTATACTATATGCAAGCAAAAAAATAATTTTATTTTACATTTGGAATTCCTTAACGTTCATTCTGCTTATTCTTAACCATGATTTGGTGCCAAATCTAAGGATGACTTTTTGTCTGGAGATTACTTGTGTATTCATAATGATGCATTAAGAGCTATAGCTGTTTTTATTGCCTCCCATTAAATTGATTATTTGTTCCCCATCCCCTCCAAAGAAAAAAGAGCAAGATTTTTTGTGATTATTTCTAATATTATCTTTGTTTATATGAACATTTAACAGTTAAATGTTAATCAAGCAACAAGGGAATACCTGGAGCGGTATGTGGATAAGAAAATGGAAAATGCTAATAAAACCAAAGAAACTCGAGCTGAAGCCTCTGAGAAAGAGGATGAAAGCGCAGCACCAGATGGGAAGACTGAATTGCCCAAACCTGCTGCTGAGGAGGTGAAGAAGGATGGTGATGCAGGGAACAAAGAGAACATTGATATTGCTAACTC